TGTTTTTCCAAGGGGGGAAAATGTCCTTGACTTCAGCAGTCACCTCTTTGCATATCTCTGGAAAAGGGTCAGAAAGCTGTGGCACAAAATGAGGATTGTGGGTGAATATATTTACCTTTGTGGCAAACTTTAGGACCCACTCTCTATGCCATGTTTTTCAGGAGACTCTTGCACCTTATCTGGGATCTAATCTAATCATGGGGGGAGAGGAATACGGAACCAGTATGGATTATGTATACTCACTCGGTGCCAGACACTGTGCTAGGCATTTTATAATTGTGTTGTGTAATCCTCACAAAAATCCTGTGCAGTGGCTCTATCATCCCCATGTTCTAAATACTGTATCTACGGTGTAGAATGCATCTATCCACCATAAATGACCATGCTGAAAGAGGAAAAGATGTCATTTAAGTATTTTCCAAATTTTTTTATTGCTATGCCCTTCGCAACACTGTGAAACAATCCTTTGNGAGAACAGGTTTACTTTTTAAGAATTTTACCTCAGTCGTCCGTATGGCAGGTTAACATACTGATTACAAGTCCTGCTTAGACACTGGGCAGGAATTTAAAGGAGTGTTCCATCTCCACTAGTCTTTTTAGAAAAGAAACTTGGTCAAATATGTTGGGTTTTACAGGAAGAAAAATGATCAAATTCTTAATTCAGGAAAATTCTGACTCGGAATACTGGACTCCAGGACTCTGGTATGAAAGACAAAATAATAAATAATAATAAAACTTCCACCTCCCATAAAAAAAGAGGATTAGATTGCACTCTATAATTTTACATAAAATCTGCCTTGTGCTTTCCCCCCGGAAGACATTCTCAGAGCTTTATTTCTTTGTACTTCTCAGGAATTGGTCTTTTTGTTAAGTTGCTTAAAACCCCAGTAGAAAAATAAGGCACGGTCGAGGGGCGGGAATGTGTATTTAAGAATATAATGAAAAGGCAGCTCAACGCAGGAACTTTGGCTTCAAATGTCACGGGTGGATTACTGGACCCTGGTGTGCCTGTGTAAGGCTAGGTGAGG